GAGCTCTTTATCAAGAATAGAATTTTGGATTGAGTTTTTCAAAGATGGTGGAGACTGATGTAGAAAGGCTTTTTAAGTCATATGAGTTTGCCTAAAGCCCAATAACATAATTCTAATATTTTCTACAGTTTTCTATTTTATTTTTGTTTTGAATTAAAATTCCATTAAGGTTTCTTTTATCTATTTTATTTCTATTTTGGATTAAAATCTCATTAGGGTTTCTTTCCTTTTGTATTTAAACATTTTTGGTGAGAGTCAAAGATCATCTTTTGATATGATAAAATTCAGTATTTTCTTTATTTGGTGGATTTCAGAGTTTATCTGACAGGATTTGTGCTTGCAATCATGTGTTTAAGGATGACAAAACGGATCTGACCCGTCGAGCATGTCCGTTTTATCTGTCTTTTTTTCGTGTGGCGGGTCAAGGTTTTAGACTTGCACCATTTATGTGTCCGCCCTATTTTTTTGCTGACTTTTACGAGCATGGACTTTCACATACAATTTTGTAATTTTTAAACCTAAAAGTTTTAATGTCTACGGGTCCGCCCCGTCTTTATTTTTATGCGGGACGCTGTAATATTTTAGGCTTGCATCCTCAAATACCCTGTATTTTTTTTTTTGCAGAGTTTTGCGAAACAAATCTAAACAGTATAGACATATCGTTTGATACTCTTATTGATACTCTCATTTTAGGTTTAACAATTGTTAATCTCTAATATGTCCGATGTTGATAATTTATTTTGTGAAACGACTTACTCTAAAAGTAAAATTTACTCCTTTAATTTGTTAGAAAAGTGATTGTTTATACAATAAAATTTTTAAAAGCTAGGAAGAACAGTTCTAAAATGCTTTTTGTTTGACGAACTATTTCTGTATAATAATATTAACAAGATAAATTTGATGTAATTAAAGAAGTTGAAATAGAGTTGGGGCCAACTGAGTCAAAGAAGTTGCGTAGAAAAATTGAATTAATGAGTGCCAACCACTTTGAAAAATCGTAGCAGAGATGATATGATAATGACTTGTGTGATTTTATGAAGAAAAAATCGTCTATTTTATGAATTGTTAAAGTAAATTAAACATGCTTTATCAAATTTTCTACTTCTTAAGAAAACAAAAATAAATTAGACAAACCTTGAAATATTTGTTTTGGCTTTATCAATCTTAAATAGATGCAAATTAAAATGAGTATCAAAACCACAGTAACAGCTGGCACTGCAACGGAGATTATGGCAGTTCGTATTTTGCTCTGACCTGCACAAGTGGTACGAGTGATTGAACCTAACAGGCACGTGGGTTGGATTGATTTCATTTGATTAAATTCAATATTCAACTCCACTAATATTTTTTAAATTGAATTGAGTTTCCAATTCATATTTTTAAGACTAAACTCGAATATAATTATTTCGTTCATCAATAAATTATGTTTGTGGATTATCTATAAATATAATTTTTAAATTTTAAATAAAGTATATTAATTTAATTAAAAAATTTATATTATAAAAAAATTTTTAAATTTTTTTAATTTTTAATTTTTAATTTGAATAAAATTTATTGATTAATATCTAAAAATTCTTTTACGATTGATATAGAGTTAGAAAAATATGTAAATGATGTAAAATATAATTTAAAAATTAAGATATTTATCTATTTGAATAAATAAAGTTGATCTCTCAAATTTGATTTAGACATAAGAGTTTACAATTAATATAAACTATAACTATATTAAAATCTATATATGAATTGTAAGAATTATGCTAGATAATTTATAAAAACATAAAATAAAATAAACATAGTACGACATATCAATCAGTTGGGTTCGTGGGTTCGTGGATTTAAAACTTCAAACTCGTTACCCGAACAAAATACCAATGAATTTGAATGGGTTGATTTGTGTTGGACTCATAAATGATTGGATTGGGTGAAATAAGGGTTGGGTTGGATGGGTGGGCAGCGGGTTAGTCTGTACCCATGAACACCCCAAACGACACTCATCTCGATTCGCCGACAAAGCGTTTCAGAGATTTAAAAAATTATAATTGTTTATAAAAATTAAACTTTGTTATTATGAAAACTAAATTCAATGTGTGTGAGAAAAAAAAACTTTTCGAGATAAAAAAAATGAACACCGCAATTTACTACGATTTACTACTACAAAAATATATATAATAACGGATTCAGGTTCGTTGTTAAGTAGTGTGTGATTGTATGTACGCTAGTTTCTACAACGAGTAAGTGATCGTGGTTATAAGTTAGGTAACGCGCTACTAAATAACCATTGTAAAATAAGTGACTGTGGTTATAAGTTAGGTAACGCGATACTAAGCAACCATTGTGAAATAACTCATATGTCACAATTTCATTACATCAAATACACCAAAAACCAAAAACCAAATACACCAATTTGTAAATTGAATTAGATCAAAAAATTATATTACATCAATGTCACAATTTCATTAGTAATCAAAAAAACTTATATTACATCAAAGTCAAAATGGTACAAAACAACCTATAATGTACACACCATTATATCAAATAATACTATTTTATTATCTTAGTGTCTTGTCTCTTGGTGTCTTCATGTTAAACACCTATAATTTCAAAGAATAATAGTTCTTAGAAAATAACATTATTAGAAATTATAACATGCAATAAATTATGAATGAAGAACTAACCCAAGCCCAAAACAAACAAAATGTAAAGTGCAAAATTACAAATTACATTTGAACACTACTATATATTGTATTCTAGTCTGTCGAATACAACTGACTACTACAACTTCGACTAGTTACTTAAATCCAGTCGAATGCTAACTTTCTAAAGGTTAAATTAACATTTTATTTAATTAATCATTTGATTGAATCTAATTTAAAAGCTATAATTTTAAATAAGATAAAAATAACTTAATCTTAAAGTAAATTAAACCTCTTATATATATATATATATATATATATATATATATATATATATATATATATATATATATATATATATATATATATATATATATATATATATATATATATATATATATATATATATATATATATATATATATATATATATATATATATATATATATATATATATATATATATATATATATATATATATATATATATATATATATATATATATATATATATATATATATATATATATATATATATATATATATATATATATATATATATATATATAAGAGATTAGAGAAACAAATAACAACCATTAGATCAAATTAATAAGAGAGATGAAATGCAAGTTAATAAGAGAGAGAAATTAATAGTCACATTAATGAATAAGTTTAATCATGATCTAATGGTTGTTGTTTGTTCCTCTCATCTCTCATTTTAAAACCCTTTTCACTTGATATGCTCCATATATGGGAGCATATCAAATGAGAGTGATTTTAAATGAGAGATGAGAGAAACAAATAACAACCATTAAATCAAATTAATAAGAGAGATGAAATGCAAGTTAATAAGAGAGATAAATTAATAGTCACATTAATGAATAAGTTTAATCATGATCTAATGGTTGTTGTTTGTTCCTCTCATCTCTCATTTTAAAACCTTTCTCACTTGATATATATATATATATATATATATATATATATATATATATATATATATATATATATATATATATATATATATATATATATATATATATATATATATATATATATATATATATATATATATATATATATATATATATATATATATATATAAACTCCAACTACCTCAGAACTTCCTTTTAACAACATTTATCGATTGACTTCTAACTACTTAAGAATCCACTTTTAGTGATAAATTATCAAAATATAATTCATCAAATTAATTCTAACTATATTAACTACTTATTTACAAAAACTATATGTTAATAATTATTTTACACAATTAGAGATGTAAATAGTTTAGGCTAGACTAGACTTTAAAAAGGTCTGAATCTGACGTACAATAAACTTACAAAGCTTGAATATGACCTATAACCTACTATAAACTCTTTTTTTTAATCTGACATTATCTTTTTAAAAGTCTGGTCTGACTCTAAAACCTATTTAAAAGCCTATTTCTTTTTAAGGTTTTCAATTAGTCCATATTACTTAAGTCTTATACGTCGATATATATATATATATATATATATATATATATATATATATATATATATATATATATATATATATATATATATATATATATATATATATATATATATATATATATATATATATATATATATATATATATATATATATATATATATATATATATATATATATATATATATATATATATATATATATCAACCCATTTAAACTATTTCTAATATCCGACTTATAAGACTTCATAAGTTTTTTTAATAGTCTAAGCCTGACTTATTTAATTAAGGGGGCTTTTAAAAAAGCCAAAGCTTTGGCCTTAAATAGACTAGGCTATAGGCCCCTGTAGACCGGCATGACCTATTCTAATCCCTATACATAACAGTCTATTGTATTTTAATTTAATTTGATGACTTTAAAAACACATGATTTATCATACTCCCTCTGTTTTTTATAAATTACCTTTTTTTTTAAGTTGTACTAAAATATAAGTCATTTTACAATATTAAAGAATTATTAATGTTATTTTTTCTATTATAACATGAAGTATTTATTATCATCTCTTTTTTTAATTATTTAAATTTATTTTTCCTATGCAATTAATGAAGGACACTATTGTAAAGTCATTCATAATTTCTTTTTTTCATACAATAAAGATTTTTTTTTAATATGTGTGAATAATCTAAAATGACTTACTATAAAAACTAAAAGGATGATTTTTTAAACTCAAACATCATAAACTCTAGCATAAGAAATTAACACAATAATTTTAATGACTTACATAAGTTTCAAAGACTTTTTTTCGTTCTTATATTTCAGACGGGCTCACACTTTAAATTTATTGATCAATATGGTGATTGACTCATAAAATAATATATCATCCTTATAAACAAAACTATCGAGGGTATGGATCAGTATTTGAAGCTTGATTTATCGATTCATTCGACGTCATTGCTTCTTGATTTTCAGCCAATAGTTGCTTGTCATGTAAGCTTTTAGTTCCAGTTCCAATTGCACTTCCATAAAAGTATGCAGGTTTCAAAGGTAGTGCAAGACTAAGAGAATGACTATTAAGCATGAGTGCAACAGCTGCCATGGTTGGTCTATCAGCTGCATCTTCTTGAATACAAAGCAAACCAATATGAATGCATCTCACTATTTCATTTGGTGAATAGTTTTTCAATGATGGATCTATAATATTTGTAGATTTCCCTTCTGTCCAACTTTTCCATGCCTGCTCAAGTGTAGATAGCCAAAAGATAATTAGGTCACCAATCAATTTCTATAATAGTGTTTGAATCACATAATCTATTATTTATACTTTCAATGACATGAAAGAAATTAGAGAGAAAAGTATTACTTACAAAGCTCAATAGATACTCTATTTCGTTTCCATGATGAATGTTTGCACTAATTTTATGACCACTTATAATCTCAAGAACCAATACTCCAAAACTAAAAACATCCGACTTCACCGAAAATTGTCCATGCATTGCATACTCAGGTGCCATATATCCACTGCATCCCAATTTACACAAACTTAATTAGTAAAATAATTATAATATTTCAAATTGATCATTTTCCTCTAATTAATTTGCTACAAACATTTAATGTCATCAATAATAAATATTTAATTATGTTTCTTCTGGGTAAAAGTGTTTTGTATCATGAATGAATCATACATTGTGATATATCTTAAAAGGTTTAATTTTTGAATCAATCAAGGAATACATCACACTATTTGAAATTACTATTTTACTTATAATCGATTCAAATTAAGTTAATTAGTAAACTCAAGAATATTCGAAAACTTACTAGGTTCCAACGATTTTCTTTGTATTTCCTTGACTTTGATCGACAACAAACAATCTTGCCAATCCAAAATCAGATATCTTAGAATTTATCTCGTTGTCTAACAGAATATTGCTTGCTTTGATATCACGATGTATAATGCGCAAACGAGAATCCTCGTGAAGATAAAGAAGTCCTCGGGCAATACCATTTATGATTTCATAGCGTTTTTCCCAATTCAATTGAGCTTTCCTTATTGGATCTACAAATATAACCAACATCATATGAATATAAAAAGAGTTATTAGTAATTATACTATTACACTACAAATAACGTATAAGGAATTGCAACAGTCTAGCTAGCTATGTTGATATTCAAACTTACCAAATATGAAGTAATCAAGACTTTTATTTGTAACGAATTCATAAATAAGCAGCCTCTCACTCCCTTCTAAACAAAAACCAAGTAGTCTAACTAGGTTTCGATGTTGAAGTCGGGCTACTAATAATACTTCATTTTTAAATTCCAGTTCTCCTTGGTTAGATTCTTCTAACAATCTTTTAACTGCAATCATCTGTCCATCTGGAAGTATACCCTGAAATATAGTATAGTAAATTATAAATATATATATATATATATATATATATATATATATATATATATATATATATATATATATATATATATATATATATATATATATATATATATATATATATATATATATATATATATATATATATATATATATATATATATATATATATATATATATATATATATATATATATATATATATATATATATATATATATATATATATATATATATATATATATATATATATATATATATTGATTGTCTATAATGCTGTTCGGTGAACAATGATGTTTCTTTAATTAAAGAAAATGTTATTTTACCTTATAAACAATTCCAAATCCACCTCGCCCAAGTTTATTAGAATCCGAGAAATCATTTGTAGCAACTCGTATAATATCAAAGTTGAATTGCAATGACTCAACAATTGTAATTTCATCTTCATATCCATCATCATGTTTCTTATTATTTGCTTCATACAATAACCAAGATGATGAAAAAGTTAGTTTTTCAAACATTATAACTTTAAATGTATTAGAAGTCCAAATTATTGATGTAACTTCTTGATGTAAAATAAGAATTGAAGGAAAAGACTTATTGATTTTAAAATTTTACTTTGTAGCTTATGGGTTATAAGCTAGTGTTGCAGAAAATTTTATCGATGTCAAAGAATTAGTGTAGTTGTCAAAAATATTCTAGGTTGTTAGCATGTCGAATTGGTCAGTCTATTAGATCAATTGCTTAGTATGTTAGTTGAAAGCTAAGCTTTAATATTCTTATAAATAACATACTAGTTATCACTTCTTGATATAATCCCTAATAATCCTTATTAGAGAGAGAAAATGGTGTGGTTGAGATTCAATTCTAAACATTATTCCATAATGTGTAATTGAATCAAGAATCTAGGGGTTTAAACCACGTTGAATTGTCTTTCCCTTTCTTCTCTCTCTCTCTCTCTCTCTCTCTCTCTCTCTCTCTCTCTTTCTCTCTCTCTCTCTCTCTTTTATTTTTACTTTGTGGTGTTCTTGGTGATAAAGAAACCAATCATATTATGTTTCTTGGGCATCATTTTTCACAACAAATTGGTGCGGTGAGCATGGAGAAGGAGATGTCGTTAACAAAGTATGAGATTGAGAAATTCACTCATGTGAATGATTTTGGTTTGTGGTGCTTGAAGATGCAAGTCCTACTGGTTCAATAGGGTTTGTTAGAAGTGTTGAAAGGATCAAAGAAGATGGATGATTCCCTAATGGAGAAGGAGAAGATGACAATGATCTAGAAAGCCCGCAATGCCATCATATTAAGCTTTGGTGATAAAGTTCTCCGACAGGTCTCGAATGATAAGACGACAACAAGTGTATGGAGAAAATCGAGGGATTGTATACGAATAAATCCCTGGTAAATTGTTTGTACCTGAAGCAAGCTTGATATTCATTCAAGACGAGTGAAGAAAAATTCTTGCTTGAGCAGCTGGATATGTTAAACAAGTTAATTCTTGAACTTGAGAAAATCAAGGTCAAGATTGATGATGAAGATCAAGCATTGTTGTTATTGTATGCTTTACCAAGATCTCATCCTCACTTCAAAGAAACTTTCTTGTATGAAAGAGAGTCTCTAACCATTGAAGAAGTCCAATCATCCTTCTACTTTAAGGACTTGAACAAAAGGAAAGAGCAAAAGCCATCATCCGTTGGAGAAAGTTTATCTGTTAAAGGAAAGTTCTTAAAGAAAGATGGTAAGTATGAAAGGAATAAGAGTAAAGTTCTACAAAATTTTTATGGTGGTAATGCTTCGTCAATTAGGTGTTATCATTGTACGAAGGAGGGTCATACAAGAAAGATGTGCCATGAACGTCTGAATAATCATGGTAGAAAAGATAATAGTAATACAACCATTGTACAAGATGATTATTAATCATTTGATGTCCTGGTAGTTTTGAGCACAAATTCTAGCAAGGAATGGATCATGGATTCAAGTTTCATTGAGCACATGACCCCAAACAAATATGTGTTTGAGGAATTATGTGATCATGTTGGTGGATCAATGTTGCTGGGAAACAACAAAGCCTGCAAAGTTGTGGGAATTGGATCTATCAAATTCAAGTTTCATGATGAGTCAATAAAGTTATTGACTAGTGTCAGGTATGTACCTGATCTTAAGAGAAATTTGATTTTTCTTGGTGAATTCAACGAGAAATGATATGTTTTCAAAGGAGAATAATGTACCTTAAGGATAGTGAAGGAGTCGAAGGAAGTCTTTAGAGGTATCAAGAGGCAAGACCTATATACCCTTGAGGCTGAGGTTGTAAGTGGTTAATATATGTCGCATCCACAAAACATGTGTCGAAGACAGAGCTATGGCATAACAGACTTGGCCATATCATTAAAAGAGGTCTGGTCGAATTGTCGAAACAAAATCTACTATGTGGCGACAAGGTCAAAAATATGGATTTTGGTGAACCTTGTATATTTGGTAAATCCTATAGGGTGAAGTTTAACAAAGGTAAAAAAAGAACACATCGATTCCTTAATTATATCCATGCTAATCTTTAGAGGGTCCTACAAGAAATCCTTCACACTCAAGTGCAAAATATTTTCTATCCATAGTTGATGATTACTCACGAAAGTTGTGGGTATTCATTCAGAAAGCTAAAGATAAAAATTTTGAAAATTTCAAAAGTTGGAAGACTCTAGTCAAAAACCATACTACCAAGAAGGTCAAGAGGTTGAGAACCGGCGATGGTCTTGAATTTTTCCATGAGGCTTTCGACAGCTATTGTGTTGCATCTGGTTTGCAAGGCACAAAACTACTATGAGTACTCCCCAACAAAACTGTTTGGTTGAAAGGTTTAATCAAATCATTCTAAAAAGAGTGAGGTACATGTTAGTTAGTGAGAGATTAAAGAAGGGATTTTTGGGATGAGATAGTCATTACTTCAGCTTACCTAATAAAAAGGTGTCCCTCGACTGCTTTATGCATGAAGATACCTGAAGTAGTTTGGTCAGGTTATCCACCAGACCTCGACAAACTTAGAGTATTTGGTTTTATAGCATATGATCACATTAGGCAAGACAAGGTCAAACCTAGTGCTCTGAGATGTATGTTTCTTGGATACCCTGAAGAAGTCAAAGCTTATAAGTTATGGTGCCTAGAGCCATGTCACATGAGGTGTATCATAAGTCGAGATGTAGTTTTCAATGAAGCTAAGACGGTTTTCATGAAAGTTAATGACGTTGATCAAAGTACGGAGATATTTTTAGAGGATCTGAAACAAGAATAAATTGTTGTTGAAGTAAAGCATAGTGATGTTGAATTACGTAGCCTAAATGAAGTCGATAAACAAGAACAAGTTGCTGATGAGTATGAGGAGACTGATACTGACTACTTACTGGCAAGAGATAGGTCGAGAAGAGTCATCAAGCCACCTCAAAGACTTGGTTATGCAAATCTCATAACTTATGTCTTAATCTATGCAAGTAAGGTTCTGGATGAAGAACCTAGAGACTATAAGGAAGTTATGAGGATTCTATACAAGACCAAATGACTTAAATCCATGGATGATGAGATGGAATCTCTTCAAGATAATAACACTTGGGAGCTAATCGAGAAACTTGTAAGGGTCAAGTTACTCAGCTGTAAGTTGATTTTCAAGGTTAAGGAAGAAATTGAAGGAGTGATGTTGAAGTGATTTAAGGCAAGGTTGAATGCTAAGGGGTTCACTTAGAAAGAAGGAGTCGACTTCAATGATGTGTTCTCATCTGTTGTAAAGCATAGATCTATTAGAATATTGTTAGCCATGGTGGAAATGTTTGACCTAGAATTGGAATATATGGACGCGAATACTATTTTCCTATATGGTGATCTAGATAAAACAATCCTGATAAGGACACTTAAAGGGTGTGCATAAAAAGGAAGGGAAGATTATGTGTGCAAGATAAATAAGTCATTATATGGCCTGAAATAATCTCCTTGACAATGGAATAGGAGATTCGACAAGTTCATGGAACAAATAGGTTTCACTATGAGTCAGTTCGACCACTGTGTTTACCTCAGATTTTTACATTCTCATAGCAAGCAACAATGTCAAGGAAGATTAGAGCTATCTCTATAATCCTTGGGATTGACATCTAGAGAGCTAGAAAGCGGTCGAGATTATACTTATCTCAAGAGACATACCTAAAGAAGATTCTCAACAAATTTGGCATGTCAAATTCAAAGCCTGTTGTAATACCTATTAATCCTCAATTTAGGCTAAGTACGACTCAAAGTCCTAGTACTGAACTCAAAAGAGCCTATATGAATAGAATTCCATGTGCTAGTATAGTAGACTCTTTGATGTATGATATGGTCTCTATGAGGCCAGACATATCATATGCAGTGAGCCTTGTAAGCCGATACATGGTTAACCCTAGAAAGCCGCACTAGCAAGCATTAAAGTGGATTCTAAGATACATAAATAATTTCCTTGACCAGAGTCCTTGATTTATGGTGGATCCTGTGGTGAAGATAACAAAGTTGAAATCGAAGGATTTCTCAACTCTGATTTTTGGGTATGTGTTCACTATGTTTGGCACAACAATTAATTGGAAAGGAACACTCCAGAAGGTTACTCTCTTATCAACCACTAAAGTGGAGTATATTTCCCTCACTGAAGCTGTGAAATAAGCATTGTGCCTTGAAGGTTTTTCTAAGAAGATGAAACTTCAAGGTCAAGCAATCACAGTTAAATGTGATAGTCAAAGTGCAATACACATGTCGAAGAATTCAGGCTATCGGGAGCAAACCAAACATGTTGATGTGAGGCTGCATTTCGTCACATAGATAATCGAGAGTGGAGAAGTCCAAGTGCTGAAGGTTTTGACTTATGACAATGTTGCTGATATGATCACTAAGACATTGCTAAGTTGCAAGTTTCTCCACATTATGTAGCTGATAGGACTGCATGATGACAACTAATTAGTTTCGTGGTTTAGAGTTTGTTCCAAGGTAGACATTTGTAGCTTATGGGTTATGAGCTAGTATTGTAACAAACTCTATCGAAATCGAAGAGTTAGTATAGTTGTAAAATAATGTTAGGTTGTTAGCATGTCGAATTGGGTCAGTCTGTTGGAAAAATTGCTTAGTATGTTAGTTGAAAGTTAGGGTTTAATTTCCTTATAAATAACACACTAGTCATCAATTCTTCATACGATCCCTGATAATCTTGACCAAAGAGAGAAAGTGATGTGGTTGAAATTCAATTGTAAACATCGTTTTCTAATATATAATTAAATCAAGAATTCAGAGTTTTAAACTATTTTAAATTGTCTTTCTTTTTCTTCTCTCTCTTTTCTTTTTACTTTGTAGTTTTCTTGCTTATAAAAAAAATCAATCATACTCTATTTCTCGGACATCGATTTCACAACATACTTAATACTAGAGATTGTTTCCTACTAATGAACTTGATATCTAGGCATCGTTTTTACAACTTATACTTAATACTAGAGATTGTTTCCTACTAATCAACTTGATACCTAGGATTTTCATCAGTCACACTTTATGCACCAACTATATATAGATTTTTGTGGTTCCATATTACTTGATGTGGTCGAGTAACACATACTTTGAGCTGTTAAAATATTTATTTAGAGTTCAATTATTATTGATTATTCAATAAAAAGGTAAATAACTTTTTAGAATAATCAAAATCTGGAAATTATTTTTTACGTAATAAGAGGTCTATTATTAATTGAGTTGGATTCAACCAAGTCAAAGAAGTTGGGTAGCAATATTGAACTTATGAGTGCCAACCACTTTGAAAAATCGTAGAAGTGATGATTTGATAATGACTTCTGTGATTTTATGAAGAAGAAAAAGTCTATTTTATCCCTTCAATTTGTTAGAGTTGTTTCATGAATTGTTAAAGTAAATTAAACATACTTTATCAAATTTCTACTTCATAAAAAAATAAAATAAATAAATTTGACATACCTTGAAACATTTGTTTCTGCTTTCTCAATTTTAAATAGATGCAAATAAAAATGAGTATCAAAACCACAGTAACAACTGGCAATGCAATGGAGATGATAACGATTCGTATTTTGCTATGCCCTGCGCAAATAGTACGAGTATCATTGCAATTCATAAAGACTTTTTCTTTCTTTTTTCCTTTTCAAGTGATTTAAATAGAATGATAAATTTCTCTTTTTTTTTTAATTTTATAAATAATTATATTAAAAAAATATTAGAAATAATTCAATCCAAACAGTCATAATAGAAAAAATGACTCCAATCTTTATGAACCGATCAAAACAAAATCAAATCACTTAAAAAATATCAGAGAAATTTAAAAAAAAAAAAAAAAACACACACACACACACAAGAATATTTGATAATTCTTTGAAAAATTTTCTCAGGATTCCCAATCACATCATTACAAATAATCTGATATCTCGCCCACCACATACACCAACAAGTACAGAATCAAATCATAGATGTCGATCTCTTTGAAGTCCTACCCACCAACTTCACAAACCACTCTAATAAATGGTAACAACAGTTGCCGGTAAAAAACCATTCTACTCCAACCCAATCAAACACCGCCTTTCAAACTGAACATAATCGAGAACAAGAAAGAAATAGATGATAAGAAGATTCCACAAAGTTAAAGCAAAAGACACGCACACCAAGTCGTGCGAATTCGATATTATTTCCCTGACCGCCAGAATCGAATGCGAAGGTAGCCTATCCAAACACTATTTCCACCCAAAATTTTTAACCTTCATTGGGATATTTCTTTGCCCCATTAAATCAAGTGCAGTCTTGAGAATAAAGTCTAATTCGCAAAAACCACGACCCTGCATAATACCTTCGTAACATGATTTGACTAAAAAACTTTCTCGTTAATGCACTTGGCCAAAAAAACCAATCGTGAAAATATGGTCTAGGACAGACCCCATCAAGTAAAGGCAAAAGCTCTATGAACTCTGGAAGTTCATCCTCTTTTAAAGTATCTTCAACGAATCCCAATCTCCACTGCCATACTTCTTCCAACCAATCTCCACATTGTCCAACATCATGATTTTTCATATTAAAAATAGCATATAGTGTAGGATAACACACCCTTAACGGCAACACATCCAGCCACCTTGCATGCCAAAATGAAACTAGGGAGCCATTACCAATTTACACGATAGCTAACCCAAGAAATCTGCTTCCTCAATCGAGTCACATAACAACAAAACGTCCTTCCACTAGAGGGAAGACAACCTAACAGGCATTGTATCAGCTTTCAGTAAAACTCTTTTGACAATATTCCCATACCTGAACTCCAACAACTTCTTCCAAATTGTACAAGATTCTTGTATTATTCTCCACAACCATTTTTCCATTAAAGCAACATTAAAATCATAGATACTTTTGATTCCAATGCCACCCCGCTCTTTAGGTTTGTAAACATCAAAATTCTTATAATTGAAGAACTAGTTTAAAATTCTCTTATGTTTACTTGAAGAACTAGTTTAACTTTTAACTAACCACTTGGTTGTGGGAGGAACAACTTGGTCGTTCTTCGAGCATGGGATCAACGGGTGGATAAGGTTTTTGAGGTTGAAAGAAGTATCTCTAAATTTTTTAAGGAGCACTTTTAGGTTCACTGGAGTCTGGGCCTAATTTTGATGGAGTTTCCCTCTGCCGTTTCTCGTCAGCTGAGATTGAATCCCTTTTTATTAAGTTTATGCCTTTGGGATTGGATGAAGTGTAGCCAAGATTAATGGGTCCAAGAGTTTGGATTTTGATGGTTTCAATTTTTCTCTCTATGAGAAGTTTTGGAGGTTTATTAAGCCTGAGATTTATGTGAAGTTTAATCAATTTTTTCATAATGTTTTTTTTTGTCGAAGAGTTTGACGGGATTTTCCGTTGCGCTTATCCCGAAGGTTGATTCTCCTTTGGAGTTGGGAGATTTTAGACCTATTTCCCTTCTTTATTCTTCGTATAATTAAACTGGTTGTAAAGGTGTTGGTCGTTAGACTGGCTGTTAGGGGTGATGAGGAATATTTTTTCTTCAGAGTAGTCGACTTTTGTTAAGGGAAGACAGTTGATGGATGGTGTGGTCGTTCTTAATAAGATTTTAGATCTTGCTAAGGTGTTTAAGAAAAAGTATTTTGTGTTCTAATTGAATTTTGAGAACACTTATGACTATATTAGTTAGTCTTTCCTAAACTATTTGTTGTTGAGATTTGGATTTGACGAAAGGTAAAGGGTTTGGATTAGGGTCTGTGTCTTTTCGGAGAGCCTTTTTATTTTGGTGAATAGGTTCCCAACAAAAGAGATTAGTATCCATAAGGGTCTTAAGCAAGTAGACCCCTTAGAACCATTCGTTATCTATATAGGGTTTTAGATGGGTGGAGCGGTCCGGGCTTCCACCCATTCAATTTTGTTTGAGATGTTTTAGGGTTTATGTCAAGGTAATAAGGTGTCTTAGGCATGGTCTTGATAAGATATTTAGTGGTATGAACTATTTGGAAATTGTGGAACAAAGTTTTTTTTTTACCGAATATGTTTGACGTACTCAATGTCTTCAATTATCTGTATCGCGTGGAATTGGGTCCACACTCATGCTCTAGATTTTTCCATTTCAATGTTATGCTGTGAGCGGGATTCACTCAAATGTTATTTTTTCTCTTCACTATGTTGTAGTTTGTTTTTCTCTTTGGTTTGTTTTATGGATTTTACCTTATTTTTGTCCGAATTGGTTGTTCTAACGTCCTTAGGGGTGACAAACGAGCATGTCCGTTCTGTTTAGAATCGTCCCGCAAAAGCCCACAGAAAAACGACTCACAGGTGAACATAGTTGAGGGTGCGAGCATAAACCTTTGACCTGCCTAACACTAAAGTGGGAGTAAAACAGGATGCCCAACAATCAAGTCCGCGGGCAATACACATTTTAAGTCTAAAAATAAAAAATTTATGTTAATGTATGTGTCCGCGAAAGTCTGGAAAAAAACGGGGTAGGGCAAGACACACATTAGACGATGAAGACTTAATTCTTTTATTTGCTTTGCACTAAAGCGCAAACATAACATTCAGGCCCTGTTGAAAATAACAAATGTGAGTGGTGTGTGAAAATTTCACATTGGTTAGAAATGTGGAGACTTAAACATTTATAAGTGGGAGAATCCACACACTTATTACCTTAAGGTTTTGGGTGATTATGTGGTATGTGTTGCTTATAAGGGAAGTCCCAAAGTAAAATGCTCCCTCATGTTGATCCTCCAAATAACCCCAACAGTGGTATCATCGACTCACTTGTACCAAAATTTAAAAAGTCTCACATTATTTAGAAATGTGGAGACTTGAACATTTATAAGTGAGAAAATTTTTATATATACTACATTAAACTTTCGAATGAATATGTGGTGTGTCTTTCATAAAATGTGTTATTTAGAAAAGATGACTACAATTTATAAATATTCTCTCGTGTTTGACTACTCAAATTGATAACCTAACGAGCCCAACGGACCGGACATGTCACCCTTATCTTCATTCGTTTAATTCTCTTTTTATTATAATTATATGTTGTTCATCTTTTATTATTTATAATTAAAAAAAAAAAAACTAACCGTTCTATCTCAATGTAAAAATGCTTCACATGTAGTAACATTTACGATGGTTCTGGTTGGTTGGAAGAGATGGGGCCCACTTATCTTGTTGGAATGAGTGAGTGATTGGTGGTGGTAACCGGAATAGAGTTTGTGTGTTTAGTATGTAAAATTTTATTTTATTTAAAATATTTAAAATAAAATTTTAGAAAATCCTCTTATATGTAAAATTGTATTTCAATTCGCAAAAAAAATGTAATATAGTTTTGATTATAAAAAAAAAAACTTCATTTAAAATACATAAACTGTATAGTTGATTAGGTACCTGAAGAAGTGATATTTGTAGATGGTGAAGAACTTTCTGATGGTGGTTGTAGCGACGGTGAAGGAGGTGTTGCATTCAAATCCAACGGAATCGTCGAATTATAGAAATGATAAGGATCAAACCTAATACGACAACTTGGTTTAAGAATATTTCCTCCCATCTTTCCCTTACAACAAACTGGAATTTCAGAAACCGCTCCTTCCAAGCAATCGATGCATTGTTGCGAAGACAAATCCGGCACACACAACACATAACCGTATATAGTTGCAAAATTTGCAGACTCATAAACATTATCAGCATCATACTTACGACGAGAGTCACCCGATGCAGCTTTTTTCGTTAGATTTGTCATCAAGTTACTCAGTGCTTCGTTGTATGCATCCACGTCACTTACATTTCTTTCGTATATTAGATATATTGTAGGTGAAGTTTCTACTACTCCGAAAATTGAACGGTTCGAGTACCATAGAGTGAAATCACCACCCCACACAATTGCCTCTTTTTGATTTGGACATTGTTGTTTGAGATAGCTGAAGGAGTTGTTTATGCTTGTGAGACAGTTTTTTGGTTCGAGATCTCCACGACATAATCCGATGGCGTATGCTTTGTCGGGATCTTGGCCGTATGAGAAATTGTAGAAACCGTAGTTGATTTCTTTATGAGAAGAGAAAGTGGATATAAGGGTTTTAAGGTTGTTGTCGTAGGGGCTATTGTCTGTGTAGTTGCCTTGGTTGTTATTGCATGAGACAGGATCTCCGGCTTTGACATGTGATATTGTTGTGACAAGCAAGTAACAAAGAAAGGAAAGAAAAACCATCGCAGAATAAACTTGTTTGAAGTATCAAAATGAAGAGTAAAGAGATGGAGGGAGTACTATGTAATGTAAGGGTGAGGGTGTTGGACTCTAGAGTTGACTGACCATAAGATTTTGATGTTGTGATTTCTTGTTTTTCTTCTTTTTGACAGCATGACAGTGTTGACATATTCAAACATTAGAATGGGAGATGCGTATGCAATTTACACGGTAGCATAGCATGGCCAAGCACCACACATATGGATGATCTATATGTATCACCAAAATTTTAAATAGCAATTGAGTTTTTTCTAATAGAAATTTTATTAAAACTATTTATTATAATGTATCATAATAAAATCAAATTTTATTTTTATTATTATCATAAAATATTTATGTAAAATTAAATGTCATGTAAGACAAAGTAATTAAGCCTTTAAAAAAATGAGATGAAAGAGCAAATCACAAGTGTTATGTGTCGGCCACAAGGTCAACAATGCATAAGTCAATTTAGAATTTATAGTATATAAATTCATATGTGTGCAAACAAAGATAAAATTCTTATTATAATTCATTCTATCCTTTTTGTTCACTCGGTGACGTGGACATTGGAATTATAATTTTAGAAGTCTATCCCCGCATTTTTGCACTGAAGATTTGCATCATCGCATCAGAACTCACCTCATGAATTCATCGATAGTTTTGGTTCTCTGTCGGAACAATGACGTCCTATGTGAAAATTAACTTTTGATTCTTGCAAATTTTCAACAGAAGTCTTCTGATTTAAACCTCATTCGTTGTAGCAATCACGTTGAGATGAAGGGAGTGACTTCTGATTTCGTTTCTAATACAACCTTGGAATCTTCTAATTCAAGATCACCTCATATATTCATCGTAGATACGTTTGGTGGAAACTTACTCATGAAGAAAGAATTTCCACCACAGAGTTTTGTTAAATCAATGTCGCATATCGAGTGGCGAAAGAGCGACAAACCAAACTTAAAATTTCAAGATCATGAGATGGTGGATGGAAATCCTAACATAACACTTATACTAATCATTACCACTACCATAACTAATCGCTCTGTCTCAAGGATCCTCATTGATGATAAAAGATAGTTCATTTTGATATACAATAGAATTTTCATGGAGAAAAGCTTGAGCAAGCACGATATAAAGCCAGGAGAAGGTCAAAGTCTCATAGCATTTAATGATTCATGTACTCGTCCACGTGGACATATAGATCTACGATTTTCTAGGGATAAGGAAGAAATATGAGAATTGTGAATATTCACTTCTTTGCGATCCCTTCTAGAAGTGTTTATAACAACATTCTTAAAAGGTCGTTCCTAGCAATGTTAGACACAATAGCTTCCCTCATCCACTTAAAGGTAAAGTATCACAAATATTACAACAATCCAGTTGTAATCACATCTGATCTACGTGAGGCATGACGGTTACATGAAGAAAAACTGAAGAATCCCTAATCAACGGTCGTCTTCCCGAGAAGAGAAAGAAGGAGGCCATGGAAGCAACCAACTTAGTCCACCTCGACGTATGCAAAGACAAAACCCCATAGAACAATGAACTTGGTCCCTCTACTGGAATCAAAATGAAGAACTTGATGTTGATTCCAGATGGCGAATTCAAAGTCATCTAGCTAGATGATAACCTAGTGCATTATGTAAGTATAAGGGGTCGACTCTAAGGCCTTATATCTGTCCTAGAGGATGAGGCGGAAGTCTCTTGTGAAGGCTGAGGCGGCCATGAAGATGATCCAGGGTTTGTTGGATGTTAACTTTACCTTTGAAGTAAGATACTGTTGGCTGGGAATTTCGACGCCATATTTCCATTTGAGAAACTAAATACAAAAAAATGAAAGTATCTTAAGTTTGGTTGATTTCGATAAAGGATTAGTGTGAAATTCTATCGAAATGTTTCTCATAAAGAGATATGCTCGAGCAAATACTTAGAAATATTTTTCAAGTATTAGAAATTACTTCGACGAAAGGATGTTATAAGGCCTTCCTTCAAAAGACATTTGAATTTCAAATATGGATGGATAGCTGTCGCACCTTGAAAAATCACAGAGATATTTCGGAGAAAACGACCCTCGCGCGAAAGGCGCGGAAATGCGGTTCGACAGAGTCGCCACCGAACTTTATTTTTCCCGAATAAACGGGAGAGGAAAATATCGAGAAAACCTCCTAAAAAGCGAAAGGATAGGAACAGGGCTGTCGCAACCATGTTCCGGGTTCGGGAGTCGGTTACGTGAGGGGAAGGTATTAGCACCCCTCACGTCCGTCGTACTCGACGGGAACCTCTTAAGGTAATTGTGGGGAGTGTTGTTTTAGGTTTACTTGTTTTCTTCTCGTTGTTAAGGGTAGAATTGGTAGGGTAAAAGGTTAAAGACGCTAAGGAGAGATGGGTGGTTAGAGAATAGGGTGCTCGCCAAGGATTGGGGCCCTTGTGCCTACGTATGCTCATTCGGACGAGAATGAGAAATCAGAGCGTCGTAGTTCGACTACGGGAAAGGATGAGGTGGAATTGTGGAGAAAGGTAGAAGGTAGCTCGCCAAGATCATCGCAATCTTGTGCCTACGTATCTTACATTCAGACGAGAATGAAGAATCAGAGCAGTCGTAGTTTGTGGAAACAACCACGAAAAGGTGAGGTTGAATAGATTAGAAGTTTGAGAAAAAGACGAAAGGGTGACTGACAAGCAACCCAAGAGCGCGCCTCAAGAGCTTGTCACTCAAGAATTCAAGGAATGCGAGGTTCCAAGAACTCAAATCTTTCGGGAATTGACTGGATAAATTGAAATTAAAGAGTTGGATGTTTTGAAGTCGAAAGAATGAATTAATAACAACTCAAGGGCGCGCCTCGAGAGTTACTCATTCGAATATTCAAAGAATGCTTGATTCTGAGAATATCCCTCTTTCGTAAGTTTTTTTAAAAAAGAGTTTGTGAAAGGATCGAATCGAAGAATGGCATGCGAGGCCACAAAGAAGTTGTTTTGAACTGGTTCGACGATGTGTCGAGGATTTGATCGAAGATGGAACCGACTTGACGACGTGTCAAGGGTTAGAATGGTGAGAAACGATATTAGTCCCTGAGGGTGCTTCTAATATCGAGACCACGAGGAATTGTGAATGAAATGTGGGTTGCGAATGCGGACGAGCATTTGACTTAGGAGAATGTTTGAAAAAAGATTGAATTCGAAAGGTTGAGTGAATAACAACTCAAAGGGCGTGCTTCGAGAATTATTCACTCGAAGACACAAGGAATGCTAGACTCCAAGTACCTCTTTCTTTCGGGGTTTTGATCAAAAAGACGTTGAGAATATGCTTGAGAAAATCAAAAGATTGAATGAACAACAACTCAAGAGCGAGTCTCGAGAGTTGCTCATTCGAAGATCCAAGAAATGCTAGATTTCAAGAATCTCCTTCTTTTGGAGTTTTAATCGATAAAATAAGTTGAGAGAAAGTTTTGAAATAGTTTGTAATGAAATGAGGTGTAAAAATAATTTTAGGAGAAGTGATAATTATCTGATAAATGAGACATCAGCCTCACAATCAATTAATCGGAGTATTACCGAAATGCTAGATCTCGATAACACCGTTTTTATTTGAAAATGTTTGGATAAACAACAAAAATATCGCACAGAACGCTAAATTCCTATGATGGTTTATTATTATATCTTAAAATAGGAGAATGAAACGCTGAATAAAACATTATTTAAGGTGTACACCTCAATAATATTCATTCGAAAACTCAAGAAGTGCTAGACTTCAAGAGTTTTAATTTTTCGTAATCTAAAAAAAAGAATAATTAAACGGGCTTTAAGAAATACTACTGTTTCAACGTTTTTCCTTTAAGATAAAATCTATTTTGAAATTGTTTTATTAAATAAATTTACTTAACAAATAGAATGATTTTGGTTCAATTTCATAAAATATTGTTTGAATAAACCATAGAAGTATCACGTGGAATGCTGGACTCCAATGACAGTTCCTTGTTTAAGTAAAAAAAAAAAGCGTATTTTGAAGCGAAAAGTCGAATGTCACTACCCAAGGCGTACGCCCCAATAGTATATATTCAAAAAAACTCGAGAAGTGATAGACTAAGAATTTATTTTTGAGATTTATTTAAGAAAATAGTTCTTTTGTGTTGAAATTACAATGGATTAGGATCAGGAAAAGATAAATACCCAAATTTTGAAAATATTTTGAAGATATCCTAAGATTATTATTACTGAACTGCCTTAAAAATTTTTACTAAATTGAATAGAAAAGTAACCTTAATTTAAAAGAAAACCATCAAACTTTGAAATGGAATACGCTCGAGAAGATTGATTTGTACAAAATAACAACGCGGCGAAGATGCCATACGCAAAACTCAGGACTTGCTGAAAATTCAAAATCCCTTAACAACCTAATTAATACAAGACTGAATACCAAATAACAATTTAAAAACAAAACTTGAAGTGATACTATTTATTTTACACTCAACTCCAAATACTCATGTAGCGCTCATCAAAATGAGCTTTGCCACCACCGATTTACGGTTCGCATACTCCAAATACTTAGATTGCAATATTTACAAGCTAATATAAAACGTATCAAAACATAGCAACTCAAAATATCACTTCTTACTTTTTACCAATTCCAAAGAAAACAGCATTCATCCATTCTGATATATGGGTCCTCATGGTGTTAACCCCCTCACCGCTGTAGCAGTGATAACAGACCAAGCTCTTTCCACTTTTTTAAAAGAAAATCAAAGAAAACTTTAAATAACACGACGTATGGCGACGTACGGCCTCATCGCCGGCAATTGATTACAACAATAAAGCAACAACAAATTCAAAACAGAGCATATGAAAATTCAAAAGGTAATATCGATTCACCGAGTGTTGTCACAGACAAAGATTACCCCCCTTTAGAATCAACAATGATGCCGTAAAAAATGAGCCAGATACCAAACAGATAAATCATACATAAGCGTATAAAAAAAAACACTTTG